GCCACTTCCATTGGTACTTTCACTTGGGCGTCCTTAAGCCATAATTCATCCTCATCGGGATCCAAAATTGCGCGGAACTCTCTTATAAAGTTCGCGCCTACATAGCAGTCATCTGTGAGCAGCGGCGTAATGGCGACTCTGACTGTCTTCGTGATTCCCCCTACTTTAAAAGGGAACATCACGTGACCAATTATAGGGCACGGGCGTCCATCAGCAAGCCTTGCATCGCCCGCCCTGGTCACATTCAACCCGAGTCCCATCTCCGATGCCAATCTCAGCCCTAATTGACCCATGACCGTGGATGAGGCGCCGGTATCATAGAGTGCTCTGATTTTAAAGTCACCTATGTCTACCCGCAACCACCACCTGGTCTCATCCTCTGGGTCATATCCACGAGTCCCATCTTCGCCTCCTTTCATCGTGCTTTTCAGCGGCTTTTTTCCTTCCGCGGCCGCGACGATGGTGGGCTGGCTTCTACTCGTGGATCCCTTCGGCAGAGGAGCTTTCTGTGTGGAGGTGCTCTCCCTGGAGTCTTCCCCCTCCTCCACAACCTGCATGTGGCCATCTGGTCCTTTCAGGATAACCACTCCCCTATTCTGCCGAGGGCTGACATCGGGTTCAATTGCCTTCCGCTCTAATATACTACTATGTCCTGGGCTATCTTGATGCCCTCCCAGGACTTGTTTGGATCCCTGGGTCGCCGACAACTTGCTGTTTCCCTTCGGCGACCCGCAGCGAGAGGTCGAATTTACTGGAGGCGCGAAGATGACCTCTTCTCTTCGCTCTCCTTGTCGTTTCCCTTGTTGCAATCTGGGCAGAACTTGCGACTAAAACCCAGTTTGCCACAAGCGGAACACTGGAGAGGCTTAGTAAAGTCTATCTTCCGCCTCTGCCCTTCTCGCCGCTCGCCAGGAGACCTGGAAAGAGGAGAATTTTTCCTTCCTCCACGCCATCGGCTCTTACGTTGTTCTGGAGGGCTGGCTTGCTTGTCAGCGGCCAACTTGCGCAATATCCGCTCGATGCCCTCCAGGCGTTCTTCCATCTTCTTATCAGAAGTGGAAGCTTGCGTAGCCGATACCGATGCTTGTTCGGTAGTCCTCCTGACGGGGTTCTCCACGCCCAGTCCGCGCTGCGGATCTCCCTCCTTCTTCGCACGCGCCTTCCCTTCTCTGGCCATTGCAGCGGTTTGGGATTTACTACCAGCCGTTCTTTTGCTCGGCTGGTAGGCGTGCTGAGGGAAGATCGTCGAGTTGGGGTCAGCGAATACACGTGGACGGCGACCATAAGATAAGGTGTTCTGTACCTCGGTCGCCCTCCTGTTGAATTCGCGTATCGACGTCATCTCGGTCCGACGCAGCTGGATTTGGATGGTTGGAAGGAGGTTTGCATGGAGTAGGTCTAATAACCTCTCCAAGGGCATGGGCGGTTCTAGTCTATTGACAAGAGCCACCAGGTTGGACACGTAGTCTCGCACTAGTTCGTCCTCTCCCTGGAACCGGTTCTGGGCTTCCTGCAACAGCCTTTGTTGCTGTTGCGTACTTGTGCCAAACCAATCCCGGGCGTCCGCGACGAACTCGTCATAACTGAGCCACTGGTACTTGTTGTTATCGTACCAGGTCCTCGCGTTACCTTCGAGGATCTCTGATACGGAACAAAGCACTTCGTCGTCAGTTAGTCCTGCACCTACGCGCAGATCCTCCAACCTCGACAGAAACGTATCTACGCTCTGTGCCCTACTGCCCGCAAACCTCAATTTCCATCCGCGGACAATTTTCCCAACATCTCGGGTTGTGGAGAGCCCTGAGAATATCTGATGTCCGGTGCCAGATGATCCGCTTCGACTCCTCTGTCGAACGGGTGCGGATCTCCCATAGACTTCCGAATCCTCTTCACCTCCTCTTCGTTGGAGGACTTCCGGTGTAGTGACGTCCCTTCTCCTAGGTATTGGTCTGGGAGGAGCCGGTGTACTCCCCGGAATCCCCGAGTCGTAGTGACAGCTGTATGTGTCCTGAAAGTCCACATTACGTCCGGAACGCGGTTGAACCGAGTCACGCTGAGAAGAACGGTTAGCACTGGCCATGTCATGCATTGCGTCTTCCAGCTCTCGAATTCGTATGCGCATGTCCTGCGCCTCGCGCTCCGCACACACCTGTAATCCCTGCAGAGTCTGAAGGGTTTCTAGGATTCGACCTACCAACTGTTGGTTATGGTCTATTCCCTCCTTCAGATACTCTATCTCTCGGAAGGCTTCACTCAAGGATAATTCTTCCTGAGGTTCCTTCCGAGTGCAGGATTCCTGCGACCTGGGGTCCGGATTGCTCCGTCTCCTCTCCTCCTTCTCCTGCTCTTGCGTACTGAGGGCCTTCTGGATGAGTTCATCCTCTTCTTGGCGGCTGGCTTCACCCTCAAAGTCCTCATCCGGGCAGGTGAATGTCCTTGACATGTCAGTCAATGATATTCCCCCCCCTATTGATGATCCTGAGGGGATGGTCGCTGTTATCATCCGTGGTGGAGTTTTCCAACTCGTCACAGACTGTGTCGAGCCACGCTTGTCGGGATCGCCTCCTGCGCCCCGCTACCTCTTTGCTGTGCGTGGTCTCTTGAAAATCTGTGGCGGTGTAATCACCCAGCAACCATCTCCCAAGCCTAGCCGCCTGTTGGATGACACTTCCATCCTTGCGCAGCTCCAAATCCGCTAAATAATGTTCGCGCTGTGCGGAGGTTAGCTCTAATGCCCAATTGTCGATTTGAGCTGACAACAGAGCCATCTTGCCTCCGCACGGGTGTAGGATGCGGTTGAGGTTTAAAATTTCGGCCTAATCGACCACTACCGCTTCCTATCACCCAAGGTATGAGCGGGGTGTACACTATTTATTGTCACTACTTTTAATGCCTCCTTTTATAAGGCCTTTTAAAAGGAGATTATGAGCGCGTGCAGTCTCCGCAAACTTTCTATAAATATTATAAAAATATCCTACCTAAGGTCGGAGCCTGCTCTTTGCTTGCCCCGCCTGGCTAATATTTGGACTGCACGCTTGGGTCGCGCTCTCTGCTTTATCGTTGATCAGGTGTTACCAACCACCCTTTATACACCAAACTATGGTTGAAATGGGTTAACACCTGATTCTCCCGTACGATCTGAAACCACTTCGACCTACCAAGTATTATCGCTTTCGGCCCTTTTTACAATAATCTTAACAATTTTTAACCAAAGGTTCGAAGTGGTTTCGTTTTTTCCCCAGCAGAGGGCGTACCGCTCACGATCTCGCTTTACCACCCGCTCAAACCTTCCTAAGCGCTCGCGCAATCGTCTCTCTCTCTCGTGCGTCGATTACCTTCGACGCACAATCCTATTCGCACGACACGGGTCTTAATACCAGTTGGGCGCCATGTAACGGGGGGGAGATAAACCTGCAAAATGAGAAATTTATATAAGAGCAAACTCCCACGATGCAGAGCAAACCGCCGCTCCGTTAACACGTACGTTAATACGTGTATTCGCCTTAACGTCAGCTGATTTAACTTGGTTGTCTTCGATCAAGCGGAGTTGAACTCACCTTAAGTCACGTGCCCTGTGACACACGATGAGTTTTAAGTGTAATCGACTTTGCTCCTAATCCACTTAATCCCCTAGCTATGATCGGATTAAAACTTAAGCCTATTTCAATTGTTTAATCTATTAGGAAAAATTATATGACGAAATCGGCGAATAATTTTAATAGATTTTATTAATAAAAATCTCTACAGTCTTTATCGGGCCGAAAGACTGACGCACGCGAACAGGATTTACAATTAAATAACTTTCGGTGAGAAAGAGAGAGAGAGAGAAGATACGAAAATTGGCGCGATCTAACGCTCGGCGTGAATACAAAATTATCAACGCTAACGCGGCTGAACAAAATAATAAATATATTTAGACACGCGATAATAAAGGGAGGTGCACCTACCCTACGGTGCAATTACGGTGATCAGCCGTAATTGTTGATGTCAGCAAAATATCAACTGCCTCTGTCCTTTGAATAATTGACTGCGCTGCCTCACTCTGCTTATCAGCTGCAAACTGCTTCCGAAGTCTCGTACTTGCTGTAATATCGCTATCACACTCACGCACGAAATTGTCCCAGGAAAACTATTACTCGGCGAGAAAAAACAGTGCAAATAACTTCGGCGATATTTACAACAGCTGAGACGTAACTGCTAATTTAAAAGATCGCGCGCCCCCTCTCTCTCTCAATACTTAGAACTAACGCGCGAAAATCAGAATCGCGAACGGTTCGATTAATTGAATCGACTACCGTTGCAGGTGATATAATCACTTAAAATTTCTATGTGTTATGTTCGAATAATTATGTAACAACTGTTTTGATAACATTTTAATATACTTGTACGATGTAAAATTTTGTAAAAGGAGATACTATTCAATAAAAATTTTCTACCATGATCTGGTCCATATGGATCTGCAGTTTTCTGTTATTAAAATAAATAAAAATAACAGAATTTTGGTCTCATTAATAGGGTTTTGTTCAAATAATTTTTTTCACCCCCGATCATTCAACAGGATTTTTAAAGCAATACCAATTTTTGTTTTTTTTTTTTTTTAATTTTATAAGCACATGAAGTAATAGTTGGATTAAATGTGCTGAGTAAACTTTGGTTTGGAATTTTTTTTAGGATTTCATTGATAATTTGACACTAAAAACGAAAACGTACGAGATTCTGAAGTACAACGCCCTCATTAGTATGCTCCCTAAACTAGCCTATAACACAAATTTTTTTCAAGCTTATCGAGTATCTATATTCATTCTTTCGAGAGAGTGAGTGAGTGACTGTGACTGAGCACATTTTCTATTCTTTTAACGTAAAAGTATATAACGTGTACATGAATTTGAAAAAATATTTTGTCTATTTTGAGAAGAAAATAGACCAGAAATACTGTTAATGATTACGGTTCTCACAGTGGCCGGGGTGTATCTGTTTTTGTGTTTGAAGAATATTGCAGGATTTCGGCAAGTATAACATTGTTCCCTTTTATTGGGTACTTAACCTCCATTCCATATTAACAGTTTTCTACAAGTTTTGAATCATTTTACTTAGTCATGTGTTTATTGAAAGCATAATGAAAAACGATTATATATCATAGTTTGCATTATTTATATACGCAGTATTTCATTTCTATTCCAGACAATTTTTGTTATCACATAATTCCACAATTGTGAACAAAGGATCCAAGATATATAGAAGCTCAGGAGCTTCTTATCAGGGAAAGTTGATTAAATACTGGATATATGCTAGGTGAATTAATTCTATGTGTTTAAATTATAATATTGTCTGTATTATGTGATAACACTTAGATCTCTACTCTGTATATGGAATTGTTTTTCATGTTCCAGGTAATCATATACCAACAAAGTAATAAGAATTGATAGTTCAAGGATTAAAGCTTCGCTGCAAAATTTTGAATTTCCATTTGCTTATGAAACCTCAGTGAGTACTATTATAATATTAGTGTACCAAATCCACCTTTAAATTTTATGTAAGCCAATGATAAACAATGACGTATCAGAATATTTGACATTTTTTTATGAAGTTAACTTGAAGAAAGTATTTCAACAATGAGGAAAGAATCGTTATATCCTATATTATGGCATCATTATCACAAATTATTTTAGATATATCCTCTTATGATGCAGCTTAATTCTATATCGATACTCATTTATGATTCATACTATTGATTTTTTCTTTTCAGATAACTTTTTCTTTCAAGATTAGGAGCAAGCCGTGATTTGTTTTTTCTCTGAAGCTTTCTACTTGAAAACAGAATCTGAATAATGATTGATGAGTTGAATATTGTAAAATTGAATAAGTCATAATATATTCAGGTGACTATAATATATACTCTATATTATTCTATATTTAATCTATAATTATTCTTATGTTTCAGAAAATCTTGTGCTTCATGTCTATTTCAAAGTTTGTCTCCTTTATTTGGCTAGGAATCTTTGGTGCGTATAATAACATAGTGATATGATATTATTGGGTTCGTTACACTTGGAATTGTTTTTACATTATTTTTTAATTTTTGCCAAGTGTTCATTAAAAAAAAAAGTTGGGAAATATAAAAAATTTATTGTTGACATATTAGTGTACTCTATTTGTAAGTTACGAATAAAGATTATCATCTTTTTCCATAAAAACGTATTCACATATTCAATTATGTATCTATATAATATTTGTATGAGACCAAACTAAACCGAACCAAACTTGAAACTAAACCGAACCAAACGTAACCAAACCAAACCAAATCAAACCAAACTTAAATAAACCAATCCAAACCAAACTAAACCTAACTACACGATACCAAACCAAAATACCAAAACCAAATTAACAAAGCCTAAGCATAGTAACGTAAAATAGAAAAGTTATAGCATGCTCTTTCAATAACTGGGTATTTATTGAATTATATATTTCATTATATTAATATTCAAATTCTATTCGAACTAATATCGAAAAAATCGTCTTTTTATGAAGAGTAATTATTTGTTAATAAATTGTCAAAAATTTTTGCTCTATTATTCGGAAACATGGGCAGACGAAAACTCACAGACGAAGAAGCAAAGGTTGCGAGCGCTCAAAAGCGTATTCGTGATGCAGAGAATGCACGCCGTAGGCGCCAAGCTGAACGTCAACGAATTATTGACAATAATCGAGCATCAAGGCAAAACGTTAAACATTATTTAGGACCTATGGATGTTCTATGTCAGCATTGTAAAGCTAAACATTTTAATGACGAAAAAGTTTCAAACAAAGGTTTATCTTTCAATGATTGCTGTGGTCATGGAACAATAAAATTAGATCCATTACCAAATTTTCCTCCTGAACTCAAAAATTTATTTGATGGAGAGCATAATAAATCATCAAGATTTTTTGATCGCATACGCCATTATAATAATTCTTTATCTTTCGCATCATTCAATGCCAATTTATTCAATTTTCGGTCACAAAGATCAGCTCCCTACTGTTTCAAAATTCAAGGTCAAATATATTATCAAATAAATACAGCTCTGTACCCTAGCGAAGGCGAAAATCCTGCATTCGGTCAGTTTTTCATAATTGATCAAAATGAAGCAATGCAGTATCTCAATGCAGCAAAATTCTGTTCTCGATTATAACTTGATGGCAATACTGGATGGTATAATCCGTAATAATAACATTTATGCAAAATCATATGAAATGATGATAGATGAAATTCGTATGCAGCAATTGATTGCAGAAACTAATGGGAATACATCACAACCTGAATTGCAGTTATTATTTTCATTAAAACCAGGTCAAGACCATCGTAGATACAATTTTCAACGAGTAAATGAAGTTGTTGCAATATTTTCAACTAGCGCTGATGGAGAAATACCCGAATCTTACATAACAATTAGGAATAAAAATACAAAAGTCTTGCAATATGTCAGTTCTCTAGATCCTAATGTTAAACCGTGGATTTATCCTTTATTTTACCCATACGGTACACAAGGTTGGCATGTAATGTATGTTTCGCACAGATCATGAACGTACAATTACCCGACTAGATTATGCTAGGACCAGAATGGCAATCATAAATGACGATTTTAATCCTATCATAAGAGGACGTAGACTGTTTCAACAATGGGTAGTAGACAGTTACGTAAAAATTGAAAGAGATAGGATTCAATAGTGTAATTCTTATCAAAAACAATTAAGGGCTGATACGTATCAAGGTTTGAATGATTACATGAGTAATCGTGCAAATGATGTTGATGGGCAAGTAGGTAGAACTATAATACTTCCTTCAACATTTCTTGGTTCCCCTCGATATATGCAACAATGTTATCAAGACGCAATGGCTATTGTAAATGAAACTGGGAAACCTGACATTTTTCTGACTATGACATGTAATCCCAATTGGCTAGAAATAACTAAAAATTTATTACCAGGACAGCAAGCTGCTGATAGACCAGATTTGGTAGCTAGGGTTTTTGATTTGAAAAAAGATCATTTTCTTCATGTTGTTACAAAAGAAAATTTTTTTGGAAAAGTAGCATCTTATAATTATGTTATTGAATTTCAAAAAAGAGGATTGCCACATATGCATTTACTGATCACACTGGAACAAGGCTACAAAATTACTACTCCTGACATAGTTGATAAATTCATCTCAGCCGAAATACCAATTGAAGTGAGAAATCCACGCTTATTTGAAATTGTTTTGAGAACTATGATTCATGGTCCATGTGGTGACTGGTGTATGAAAGACGGTAAATGTTCCAAAAATTTTCCATAAGAATTCCAAGCCACAACTACTATCGACGAAAATGGTTATCCAAGTTACCGAAGAACAGATACCGGTGAAGAGTATGAATGCCCTAATGGACACAAAACCGATAATAGGTGGGTTGTTCCTCATTGTCCTGAGCTATTAGAAATGTTCGACTGTCATATCAACGTGGAAATTGTTTCCAGTATCAAAGCTGTTAAATATTTATACAAATATATTTATAAAGGACACGACGCCGCTACAGGGGTGATCGGAGAAGCTGAAAATCAGAACACTATTGAACACAATGAGTGTCGCAATTTTCTTGAAACCCGTTACGTTGGTCCTGTGGAAGCATGCTACAGAATTTTCAGTAAACCACTACAACATAAAAGTCATTAAGTTACAAGATTACCCATACATCTACCTAATGAACAGGCAGTAATAATTCCCGAAAATGAAGATGAAATGGCATTGTTAGCGTGTTTGAACAATTCAAGTAGCATATTACTTGATTATTTTACTTTGAATGCAACTAATGGTGAAGCAAGACAGTATTACTACACTGACATTCCGAAGTATTTTAGACATATAAAGAAGAAAGTTGATGGGCAAATGACTTCGTCATGGGCACCCAGGAAAAAACATTCTGATTGTATTGGACGCGTGTATTCAATAAGCCCTACACATATTGAATTATTCCACTTACGACAGTTGTTATTGCATGTGAAAGGTGCCACAAATTACAATGATTTGAGAACTGTAGATAATATATTACATCCTTCTTTCACAGCAGCCTGTCTAGCGTTAGGGATTATTGAAGACGACGAGGAATGAAACAAAGCTATGAGAGAAGCAGTAAACTGGATGATGCCGCGGCGCCTCAGACATTTATTCGTTCGTATATTGATTCATTGTCAACCAATTTATCCTGAAAAATTGTGGGAAGCATTTAAAGATTCAATGTCAGAGGACTTTTCACGTAACAATGATTTGAATACTAGCTATCAAGAGGCTTATGCTGAAATAAATAACCTTTTAATTAAAGAAGGAAGAAGTTTAATTGACTTTCCGACAATGAATCAAAATGTAATAGTTGATATTCTTAAAAATAATGATGATGAAGAAAACCGCCGATTGGAAATTGGCAATCAACAATATCAGAAATTAAATGCAGAACAAAAACAAATAGTTGATATCATTCTTGAAGCATCACGTTCACAGAATTATGCTGGCTCAACTTGCTTTTATATAGATGGACAAGGGGGTTCTGGAAAAACGTTTGTTTATACTACAATTTATAATCTTTTAATGTCAGAGAACATACAATGTTCTACGATGGCATACACGGGTATTGCTGCAATATTACTGCCTAATGGTAAAACAGTACATAAGACTTTTGGTTTACCGGTTCCTATGTTTCATGATTCATCTTCAAATTCATCTTCAAATATTAAAATACAATCTAACGAAGGCAAACTTCTGAAAAATGCTAAAGTTTTCATCTGGGATGAAGCACCAATGGCCCCGAGGTATGCTTTGGAAATCGCTAACAGAACATTACAGCATATAATGAACAATGACCTTCCATTCGGTGGAAAAATAATGATTCTGGGCGGTGATTTTAGACAGCTTCTTCCAATACACGTTAATGGAACACGCAGTGAAATATTAAATTTGTCTCTAAAAAATAGTCATTTGTGGACATTTTTTTCCAAATTTCAATTGAAAACAAACATGAGAGTTTTGCCTAATGAAATCGAATTTGCTAAATTTTTGTTACAAGTTGGTGATGGAACGTTGAATGATGAAAATGATAATCTACAGCTTCCAGAGCAAAGTGTACTTCCTGCAAATGAATGTATTGTTCAAAATATTTTCGGTAACTTAATTAAAGATAAGAAATTTGATGATATCACCCACTGTGCAATTTTATCTGCTCGAAATGCTGATGTAGATGAAATGAACATGAAAGTTACTAATCTATTAGATAAAAAAACTGAACACATCTACACTGGTATAGACAGTACAGAGAACTGCGACAATGGGGAGATGCAAGAGATTCTTCTGCCAGAATATCTCAATTCATTAAATCCACCGAACTTTCCGCCTCATAAATTACGCCTAAGAAAATATTGCATAGTAGTGTTAATTAGGAATATAAGCATCAATGAAGGATTATGTAATGGAACGAGATTACAAATAATTGATTTTTCAAATCATTTACTAAAGTGTAAAATATTGACTGGAGATAAATGTAATAACATAATATTTCTTAATAGAATCACATTGTATTGTGAAAATCTATATCCATTTACTTTCAAAAGACGTCAATTTCCTATTCGATTAGCTTTTGCTATGACGATTAATAAAGCTCAAGGACAAACATTAAAAACACTTGGAATCGATCTTCGGAGAGATGTTTTCAATCATGGTCAACTCTATGTCGCTATGTCTAGAGTAAGATCATGGGATTCGTTAAAAATTTATCTGGGAAATCAAAGGCATAATTTATTGGTTAAAAATTACGTATACACAGAATTATATTCAAAAAAATATCGTTTACTTTCAACTTCAGATGGAACCTGATATTTGTTTAATATATTTACTTGGCAAGCGATATTTGCAAATATATTTAAATATTTTATTCTAAACATGCATATTATTGAATTTGTGCGCACAAAGCGCGCTGTCGTGTTCTAGTATCTATTATTTTGATCTCGTCGTATATTTTTAAA